TCCCAGGCAGCCAGTGACAGGGCAAGAGGCCATAGTCTCAAACTGTGCCGGAGAAGTTCAGGTTAGACATTAAGAACCCTTTCTTCACAGAAGGGGTTGTTAGGCATTGGAACGAGCTCCCCAGGGAGGTGTTGGAGTCCCCGTGCCTGGAGGTGTTTAAGAAAAGACTGGACGTGGCACTTAGTGCCATGGTCTAGTTGACATGGAGTTGTTAGGACAAAGGTTGGACTCGATGATCCCAGAGATGTCTTCCAACCTAATTGATTCTGTGATTCTTAAGCCAAGATTTTATCGGCTGACATCCATGGGGAATACTCTGTGTTTATCCCTTTACACGTTAGGTCTGCTATCTGTATCTCATTGAGAATTTAGGAATTTAACTGCAGATACTTGAGTTAAAAAGAAATCTTAATGATTGGACATGAAAGATGTTATATTGACTAAACTGAAGTTTGGGTTTGTTTTTATTTTTTAATTTCAAATACTTCATGTTGAAAATTGGTGACTAAACTTTTTTTTAAGAAAACAATTTCTATTACACACACACGCACACACACATATGTATCTGTGTATGCCTGAAGAGGAATAAGCAGCTTTTGCTAAATCTGTTCTATTTTAGTCATTTAGACACATATCTATCCCTATGTGTAGTGTTATATAATCTTTCTTAAATTCTAGGGACAGATTTACGAGAAAGCTTGATATAATTTTTTCTTCTTTCTGTAGTCATCAGTTTCTTTTTTAATAGATTAATACTGAAGAATTTGCAAGAAAACGTTTACAAAAGAATAATTAGAAGAAATTAATTAAGTGCAAGATTTCCTTCCATCATATATTCTATATTGGTCTGCTTTAATATGTTGGTTGAAAATGTTTAGCTTTGAGGGGAACATAATTGAAATGAATCTTGTTATTGCTGTTTCAACAGGAAACAATGGCCAGATCCAGTTGTGGCAGTTTTTATTAGAACTTCTCACTGACAAAGATGCTCGGGACTGTATTTCTTGGGTTGGTGATGAAGGAGAGTTTAAATTGAATCAACCTGAACTGGTTGCACAAAAATGGGGACAGCGCAAAAACAAACCCACGATGAACTATGAGAAGCTTAGTCGGGCTTTGAGGTAAGAAACTTTAGGAACTGATCAGGTATGAAGTGATTTGCTTCCACTTGGCTACTTTATTTTTAACTACCATAATGCAAGACTTGTGGCTTTTGTAGCGAAGGGATAAACAGATCCTCTGAAGCTACTCCTTCCAATCAGGTCGTACTAGTCTTAGGGGCAAGGTATTTGTTGGGGGATTTTTCTTTTCTTTTTTTTTCTTTCTTTATTTTTTTTTTTACAAATAGTACAATAGTAGTACAATAACTTCTAGTACGATAACTTCTTGAAAATATGTTTTCTTTCTTCAAGATTATTGAACACTGACATGATAGTTAATTTGGGTAGCTCACTGTCAGAAATGTTTCTTTTTGATATATCTTCAGCATTTATGCCTTCAGTAGTGTGCCAAACAATATTAGTGATTGGTGAAAGATACAGAAATCTGTGAATACTCTGAATTATAGACTTATTTTTATATTTTACAGTTTACTTGTTAGTGTTCTTTTTGCTCTTGTTATGGTATAACGCGGGTATTTTCCTGTAATTACATAATGGTTATTAGTTTTCTGTATGTAACAAAACTTTTTCGAAGTTCAAATATTCATTGATCCATTCCGTTGTTCTTATGGTAGGAATGTTAAATTGAAAAATACAGTTGACAGGTAAGTTTCGAGAGTTGTTGTGATTCCAACGTAGTGAACTTCTATCATCTGAAGAAATGGAAGCATTTCAGGCTGTCTTCCTTCCATTGTGATTTTATAGTTTGTCATTGGTACAAGGGACTTGTATTATTGAATCACTGTAGGTGATGTGCTTGAGGAGCGGGAAGAATGCAAGTGCCTGAATTTTAGACTTTTGCTTCCCTGATTATTTTAGCCTCTGGAATCATTTGAAAATTCGTCCAAGTTCTCTGAAATCATTAAGACTGAACTTCTGATTTCTTATTCTGATATGGTTAAATCTATTTTTCTTGATTAGTTTTCAAGAAAGTTATTTATTACCTAATCCTGAAAATTATTTAAGCACTTTTAGGAACTCTCTTTATATGAGTGGAGATGCATATTGGTTGAAGTCTGAGATCTAAGATTCACTTTTGGCTGTGGTGTTTGGTTTTTTTTAAAAAAAAAAGAAAGTAAACTCATCTAGCATTGTTTAAAAAAAAGAAAAAATCAACTTCTATTTAAAAATACCTCTATGAGAAATGATGGTAAAGTTACCATATTCTGGCTTGCTTTAGTCTTTTAGGGAGGATTTAAATAATATCAGTATGTATAATGCTGAATGAGTGCTTTCACTGGGGGAGGTGGAAGTCTAGAAGACCATGAATGGCATGGAGTCAGTAGTGCCTGCTCAGTTTCCCATTTACATGAACAGGAAGCATCAGAAGAAACTGGCAGGCACCAGATACACAGCTTAACTATGCCTTCATTTATCATGTAAATTCTTTAGGCACAGTATTGTGGATGCCAGAATTATTTTATGAGTTTGTGAGGAAAGTGGGCAAATCAGTGAAAAAGAAATATTTTGAAGGATATTAGGTATGGAAAGATGCAACTTCTAGAAGTTCCTGAGCCCCGGATCATTGAAAGCAAGGAAGAGCATCAGTATACGCTTAGTCTACTTTCTTGCTTTTCCTTAGGCATCCTCTTTTGGTCTGTTGGAGTCTGTATCCTGTTCTAGATAGATCTTTAGTCTAGTTTTGTATGGCTATTCTTGCATTATTTAGATACTAGAATGTTACTTTTTTCATAGGATCACAGAATCCCTTGGGTGGGAAGGACCTCGGGAGGTCTCTGATCCAACCTCGTGCCCAAAGCAGGGCCTGGCCAGTAGAGCTGCTCCCCAACCTGTATTGTTGCAATACCATTCCCATATTTCCAACCTGTTTTTGTGAATCTATGCATTTGTGTACTGAAGGTATACGTGAAACTTTCTGGAACATAAAAATGATGTAAATGATGCTAATGTTTTTTGGGTTTTGTCAACAAACTCCGCAGAAGATCTCAAAGGCAGCTGAAGAACTTTAGAATAATGTTCTTATCACTGGGATATTAAACAGATGTCTGCACAGTAATTTGCATACATCACTATTAGAGAAGTTTTGCATTTATATTTTAATCACAGAATTACAGACATCACATTCCTCAAAATGTTGCCGTTTTGGCAGCTGCCTCAATATTGACATGTTTTCTAACACTTGAATGTCTGACGGGATATTTAATGCCTCTTGCTACTCCCATGATAAACACTGTTGCCAAGCTGAAGTTTTATTAAATGGTAATATGTTTTGTTTACTAATGTGCTGAAATTACTATGTCATTTGTTGATTAATACAGAAAATGATGTTGATATTGAGAAATGTGCTAGCTCTTCTGCCCAGCTGTAGGAAAACCAGGCAATGTAGAAATTAGGGCAGGGTGAAAAACAGAAGAGTAGCTTTTTTTATTACATACACCTTGGTAAATTTTCTAAAATCAACATCTGTTTACTTATCCAGTAGGGAAGTAAGACTTGAAGAAAAATAATTAATCTCCTGTATTATTCTGAAACAAAGTTTTCATATGACTCAGAACATTCCAGTAACTAAGCCTTTGTAAACTTGCATGGATATTTATTTATTTTTAGCTTTCTATATTTTTTTGAACAAGCAAATGCTGTAATCAGAAATGCATTCAACATAATATTGAAGAAAATCTTGTCACCACATTGCCTCAATTCTAACTTGAGTGTTTCTAGCATGAGATGTGGGAATCTCTTGCGGTTTTTTGGGGCCTTTGCATAAATGCGGACTGATTTCTTGTAGTCTTTTTCCTTTCTGATTGTATCGGTAGTGCAGACTAAATCATTTGAAGAAATTTATTCAGTTTTGTAAAGCATTTTTCTACAGCATTATTTTGAGACAGGCATTATTGTACAGGACTGTACAATACATTTACAATAAATGTAATGTATTAAGCATCTACAGTAAATGTAAATGCTTGTATAGAGTTAAATAACTTCTTGCATAATACCAGTAACCAGCAGGCTTGCTGAAATTTTTTTCTACATAGTCTGTCTCTCATCCTGTCTTTGCTTTGGTCCTGTTGCTTAGATCCTGGCCCTCAAAAGTAAGAAATTAAAAGGCTTTTTTTCAGAATTTGAGGTGTCTGAAGAGGTTTGGTTGGATTCTTAGTAACTTACCTCTTTTCCACTAGAGCTGGGAGACAGAAGTTAGTCTTTTAATTGACTTAATTTTGCTGGTGAATGAGAATTATCTTTGCTTTACAAGCATGTCACTCAGAGGATTGAGTTTTAGACAATCAAGAAATCTGTGCTCATTTGTACTACATTAGGGTGGTGATTTTGAGTAAATTAAATTGTGTGGTGGTGGTTTGGGGTGGGTTTTTGTTGGTTGGTTGGTTGGTTTTGGGGTTTGATTTTTTTTTTCCAAATTTATCACAAGCTTGTTAAACTCATCAAGTGGAAGTTATGTCCCAGCCACTTCGGTTTTCTTAATGAGAAATGTGTCATGTGTTCTATTGATGCCTGCAGTGAGACAAGAACAGCAACAAAACTATAAAATTCTAACTTCTGTTTTATTGGTATCACTTAAAGTTTTATAGTGTCTCTGAAGTACACTGGGTTATATGGACTTTGTTATCTTTACTGCATTTCTGCCCAGTCAGATAATTCTTTTGTGACACAACGTAAAAAGTATTCATAGTTAGAGAAGTCACTTTTAGTTGTAAATAAAGGCAAAGGATGTAGTTTTGCCAGCATATGGTCTATTAAAAAAACAAACAAACAAAACACCAAAACCAACCAACTACCCAAACCCCACCAAACATGGTTTTAATAGCTTTACTTCCATCTTGAAAACAATAGGGAGGGAATGGCTGCTTTAGTATCATAGAAACTACAATGCTTATTTTCAAACTGTTTCCAACATGAATTTTTTTCCTCGGAAAAGCAGAGACAAGAGTAAAGAAAGCAAAGGACAATAATGAGGGGGAGACAATATTTTCTTATTAAGGCAAAGCACTATATAAAACTTATTTCTGTCCCCCCCCCCTCCCCAAGCTGTTTTTAAACTGCCCCAAGACCTTCATTTCTGAACTGGTCCTTCTGACTGCATATGAAATGATGACTATGTTTTCTTTCTCCTTAACGTATCAAGGTGCAGGGACAATTTTCAGCCCTCTTCCCCTTGCTCATATAAGAAAATCCCTAAACAGTATCTTGGTGTATGAAATTGTATGAGAATCTTGATGAGAAAGAGATTCATATTTTGGCCTCTGAGTGACCTTAAGTAAATAACCGATGCGTATGGAAGTTACAGATGCTGCAAAGTTACACTGTTTTTTCTTTCTTTTTTTTATTTTCTTTTTACAGGTATTACTATGATGGAGACATGATCTGCAAAGTGCAAGGCAAGAGGTTTGTGTACAAGTTTGTCTGCGACTTGAAAACTCTCATTGGATACAGCGCAGCGGAGTTGAATCGGTTGGTCACAGAATGCGAGCAGAAGAAACTAGCCAAGATGCAGCTCCATGGCATTGCACAGCCAGTTACAGCAGTTGCGCTAGCTACAGCATCCCTGCAAACAGAGAAAGATAATTAAGCACTAGGACCTAAAAAGTGGGAGCCTGAGGCCTTTCCTATATAACCTTTACCAGAATCGGAAACTTCTTTTGTTTCTTGACAGTACGATATAGAGCATGATTTTATATAAAGAACTGGGACTTGCATACATTTGGATCTTTTAACAGCATATATTTCAATATAAGTTAAGGGATCACCACAACTTCTGCAACTTTGAGTCAGGGCCTCTATGGTATGCAATCTGAAATTGATGAGAAAGGTTGAACTGGTCAGCGCTCTCTGTCCACAGCTGTACAAAGTAATTTTTGCCACGCTTTTAACAAAAATGAAGTCCTACAGCAAGCAGGCTGATCAGTTGTCTGAACTCAGTCCTTTCCAGTCTTTTGTTCTCTGCTGAGCTACCAAATGGTGTTTGATGCTTTCCAAGTTAAACGTGCTCATTATTCTCATTTAATCAAGCAGAGCCGAAAGACACGTTACAAAGCATCAGGTTCTTAAAATAGCTTCTGTGTTTATAAGCAAAGGAAACTTAAGACTAGACCGAACTGAAGATCAGTGCTGAAGGAGATCCAGGTTTAGATCTGGCTTAGGTGAAAAGCCAATGATGGGTATTTCATTGTAATATGTAGATAATATGCATATTTGAGGGCAAGTACTTTCCTATTTTGAAAGACATTGTTAATGCTAGCCATTTAGGAAAAAGCAAAGGCAAAACTTCGCTGCAACCCCCCCCATCAGGTGATTTGAAGACTTGAAAAAAAACCAGCCCTCAACCAAGGAGTAGTTTGTTTTGGTGGAGGTTTTTAATGCTCTGTTCTACAAGGCGCTTACACCTGCACAGTAGTCAACCTTAGTAACTGAAGACATAAGTTAATCACAGTCAGTAGTCCCTGTTTAGAAACAAAATGCAAGTTCAAAGTGGTTTTACAGAGAACTGAAGTTTGGTTTCCAGATTATTGTACAATCTGACGTATATTGAAATACAAAGATGTATTTTTTTTATTTAAAATTAATTTCTTTCTGAACTTCAAGTAATGTTTTTGAAGCTTCGTAAGCCAATGCATGCTCCGGAGCTGGGTGCAATTTGAAGTCTGGATGATGCATAGAGATAGTTGGAACATATCCTGAATTCTGAGCTGCAGAAAGTACTTCAGGCAAACTTACACGTGCAGTAAAAAGCAGGCTGCAACTTTTGAGCTTCTGTACTGATGCCTGTTAGACTATTCCTTTTGATGGCGAAAATGGTGCAATTTTGGGTTTGCTTTTATGCCTTCATGTTTTTAAACAGTATAAATACTATGTCATCATGCATATTTTCCAACTTTTTAGAAGTGAAACCCCCTCTGGTAACACTTAACAGTTAAAATGCAGATGTATAAGGGAAAACCTTTAGATCTGTCGGGGTCGAGCTACTCTTAAACCTTAAAAATGCTTGTGCAGTGAGGCTCTAAACACAGAATGTGTTTATACTGTGTAGCGAGAGCACTGAACTGTTGCTCTTGGTCTGAAAAGGAACAGTCATACTTGCAGGCTGAGGGCAAAGAACACAGAAGACTCATGTATGTTTTGAAGACACGTTGAGGACAAAGCTTTTTGTTTATAGGTGGACATTCATCTGCAAGTAGTTTTTGCTTAACTAGAAATCTTGCATGTAGTTCTAACCTACTTTTTTCATCGTCACCATGATTATACATTTTTTTTTTTCTTGCCAGATTCTTTCAGTAACTTTTAATACTGGTTTCATTCTTGAGCTCTTGAAGCACTTCATCTACTGAGCATGCTGGCTTTATTTTGTTTTTAAAAAAATCTTAAGCCCTGAGCAAAACAGGTAAATGCACGTGTCATGAGAGGTCAACCATCAATCCATTTATTACTGTTACAGTAGTCAGATTCCACCAGTGGGCAAGCTTTTGAGGTGACTTCGCACATTGATGCAGGTTTGCTTACTAAGAGTAAGATGAAGCTGATAGTTTGGTGGCAGCAGCTAGGTATGTAACGCCGCTTCATTACTGAACACAAGTCCAATACAAGTCACTAGGCTTATTTAGCAGAGTTCGTGAGAGGCCTTTTTAGTTAAAATACAGTATAAAAAGAAGAGAAGCTTAAAATACCAGATTTCTAGACCAAACTGGACTGCAGGAGGATAAACTAACAGCAAAATTGAAATGTAATATCAATACAATGTTCTTGTTACGTGACAAGTCCTCCGGGGGAAGCTTCTGATATCAGACTTGCTTTGTAAATACATCTGATTATTATTTTTGCAGCTTTTCAGTAGATGTGATAGTCCTTTTGGTTCTTTGTTGTCGGATCATCTGCTTTTCCACCATGTTCTAATTAGGAAAGAAGGAATCTTTTCAAACAGTATAAAATCACTCTCATGTTCTCTGTAGTTGAGGGAGAAATCTGTGACTAACTTGACGTCTTCAATAAAAGAAAAGATGTAGAATATATTGTCAAAGGTTGTTCTGTTGCTGCCAGAAGGAAAACATAGAATATTCCCAATTTTTTGTAAAACGGAAGGTTTTTTGCATACTTTTTACTCTTTAAATAAAGACACTTATACTCTGCTAATAATTATGTATTTCTTTTGTGTTTTACATTTTTTTGGTAATTTTACATGAAACAATTATTTTCTATTTTTACTCTGATAAAATATTTGTGCATAAAATGTCAATATAGTAAAATAAAAATGTTATACAGCTAATGCCTGTTGACTTCTTAATTTTTCAGGAAGCTGTCAGGTGCAACCCGTTTAAAGATGAATACATGCACTTTATTCTCGTTACTCTTAAGATCACAAGCTTGTTACAGGAAGAAGGCAGACATTTTCTGAAGATGCATCTTCTTTAACTCAATACTTCGCTATGTGTTTCTACTTTTAAACTGGTACTCAGTGTCCTTCGTTACTGTTGCAGCTGTCTTTAGCATCTTAGTTGTAAATCTCAAAATGGTGCTGTGATAAAAATAATGATGGACAAAATGGAGCCCTGTAAAATAATTAGGTTTATGCTTTTAGCAGTGTTTAAATTGGAAAGGTTCCTGTTGATCTGTAAACTTCGGACTTTGTTTCATTCTTGTAAATAGCCCCACTTATCTCACGTGGCCTGCTAACTCAATTGTTAGTGCTGTCCTTGTTAAAAAGAAGATAAAATTCTGATTATACTGTTACTATCTTATTTTTAAATCATGTGTTGATAGAAATATTCTCATACCTCTGAACTGTTCCATCTGGACTGCCAAATTCAAGACTGAAATATTTTGTCATCTTTAAACCTACCAGATCAGTTGATTTCAAAATGTTTATGTTTAGCTAAGCAGCCACAACATGTAATGGACAGAAAATAATTTTTTAGAACATTTCAGTAATTTGTTGGCTGCCTTTTAAAGTGCACTTACAAGCGTTTAGTATCTTATGAATTGAGGGCCTTTTTGTTTATGTCGATTAATATTTTTATGCCAGTGTGAGTTTGTTTGGGGATTCCTATTCTCAGACTGAAATTTTTATTGGAACAATATAGGGAACTACAAACTTAACAGCTTGCAATTATCAATCTTAAGCAGAATGAACTGAGATGGGGCTCCATTGCCTGATGATGAGAGCCGCATGATGTAAGGTCCATTCACACAGGTTTATGGGGAATATTTTTACTGACTAGACTGTTTTTTTGTTTTTCAAGATCATACAGATTCTTACAGGTTGTATTTTTAATATAGCTATATCAGGACTTCTACAACATGTTTAGTTTGATACTGTCTAATTTTTTTTTGTTTTGTTTTGGAAAAATAGTTCTTAATATGGATGATGCTAAACAGAAGGTTAGTTAGTAATTAGAGAGGAATGATTGACTGGTTTTTGAGAGTTGTAATGTGGAACCCAATACATTAGACGTATTATGACTCAATTACATTTTCCATCATTATTTCAGGATTAGAGCCCACAGCATCTAATCAGGCACCAAACTGAAATTTTATCATCTTGTAATTTTAGAGTGTTGACATCTCAGCCATGAATAATTTGAAACTAAGTTTAAAAAATGCCATGGAGGGAGAGACAAATACTGAGTGTCTGCCTTTAATCAAAATTGTTCTTTACTGATAGAACTGGTCTTTTGGAAGCCAAAATGAAATGGTGCTAATGCAGCAGTATCAGAAGATACGTCTGTAACCCATGAAACGGTTCTCGGTTACCTGGAAAACCAGAGGAATCAGTTGTACTGTTTGTGGTCCGTGACACACAATGTCCAAGGAAGTTCTTTTTGTGGGTGCTGTCATCCTAACTGGCTATGATGGGAAAGAAAGAATTCCAAGGTAATTAATTATTGTTCATAGTTGTAAGCAGCTTACGTAGGCAGTCACTTAATAAAGTCAGTTTAAAAGAGGAGGTAACTCTGTATCAGAAACACTTGGAATTCTCGTGTAAATAGTCATTGTCTTGTGTTACCAAAACAACTAAAACTACCTGCAGTGCGTTAGTTTTTAATTGTCGAACAGTTCTTGACTTCTAAAACAACTGCTGGACGCCAGATAGTAATAAAAATTCAGTTTATTCTTTGTAGTCATTTTCAGGTTGCTGGAGTTGAGGTGATTGTTCAGAAACAGCAGGAAAACTGCTTTAGTTTAGCACAGCTTTGGTGAGTGTGAAAGCTTGCGGAAACACTTAATTTTGTCTATTGAATTGCTTCAAGTATTTGCTGCTAACAATCTAAGTGAGCTGGGAGTCTTTAGTATTAAAAAAAAACCTGACCAACATCGTCCATAATAGATCTGATATCTTAAGACACATTTTTTTTTTTTCTTACCTTTGCAACCTGCCTTGTAACCTAAATGGAAGAAATTAGCATTTAGGAGCTGTATTTCTAGTCCTGTGTGGGCTACGTATCAGAATTCACTAATCAAAGTGGAATACCCCCATCTCAGTAGGCAGAATGCAAATTATATAAATTATATATATTATAATACAAGAATATGTAATATATATCAAGTATCAGTTGTAATTGAAGCAAGCGTGGATGGCACTAAGCAAACTATTTCTTAGAAGATTTGTTGTTTATTTAAAATTCCTCTTGGTTAAGGAAAGGTATTTTGGGATGAAGAACTGTTAGTTTGCTGTTTCCCTCTTCATCCCAGTAAACTCAGGTTTTTCAGTATTCTCATTTTCAAGGACTCTGCAGGAACTACTTCATAGGAACTGGGTTTGCAAAAAGCTTCAGCTGCAGAAGACAATGACAAACCAGTATGTTTAAGAAAAATCTTGCAAGAGTGAAAGCTGCAAACGGTGTGCATGCAAGAAAAGGAGTCTGGAAGA